TTAGCTCTTCAGCTGTTTTAATCACTATTGTATTGTTGTTGTTTAAACTTCTCATATTATAAGGTGGTGACAGGTCTGTGATATCCGTTTAACCATATTGTGTATACTACAGAATGAATACTAGTCATTCAACATCTTTATATATATGCACCCTTTCTATATACCACGGTGTGAACAATGGTAATGTAATATCTTATTATATATCCTTTGCGAATACCGCCAAGTTCTGGAAATCAGTCCTGTAATACAACTGTTATCGATATTTTGGTATATCACACTATAAATAACATTTGCTTGATATCTTAACATGTACAATTGAGGGTAGTAATATAAATATCTGATATGGGATATAGTACTACCATATTTTGAGGGTATCACGGTGTGAATAACATATATACAGTTTCATACTGTGTACATTTAAAAGTATAACACAGCAGAAATAGCAAAAATGATGACATACATGTTTTATTTTTATTTTTAAAGATAGCTTTAGAGTCGAACTGTTGAAGGATCTATTGAGAACAATCTAAATTTTCAGATTAACTGAAAATGCTGTTATATGAATTTTGATCAATCAAATGTGTGACGAAACTAAAACTAACGATCTGAATAAACAATTGATTGTTTTCCAAGTTAAAAAAGCAAAAAAAGGTAGTATGCTAGAAATGTTTTTTTTGTTTATTTAAATGCTGGTCTGAATTATGCTGATGTGATGTAACTATTCCTTGATAAAAATAAGATAGCGAAAAATTGGAATGATAAATATTTATTTTGGTGACTTAGAATACGTGGGGAAAAAAAAAAATAAATCATTATGAAAATACTTATAAACACAAAATTAAACTAGTGGTTATCTGTGCTCTACTCACCACGGGTATCGAAATCCGGTATTTAGCGTTATAAGCCCTCAGACTTACCACTGAGCCACCGTGAGACCCATTATTAAGAATACAATAGATTTAAATCCACTTTGATAAACAGAGTTAATATAAGAAATTTCATTATTTTGTAATAGTCTCGTTTTTATTATATAATTTTTGCCATCATTTATAACAGATGAATGGTCTAGTTATACCTATTATATTTTTATACCTATTATATTTTCCCAAGATATTTATTTGACTTCATAATAAAGAAGTTAATTTTATTCCAAGATATTTTCTTTTTCTTCGAAGTCCAAATCACTTCTAGTCTTTTCCAACGTGTAGTTGTATGATATATTTCAGTTCGCATAATTAAGCAACCTAATTACTAAGAAAGATATAAACACCTACGTATAGTCTTTTTCAGTTATTTTAAATGAAAGACAAAGTTATTTACATTTTACAAAATGCATGCCAAATCAATGATAGGATGCTATAAATATATATTCATGTATGTAGGCAGACAAATGAAGTTAGGGTACAAACTGCACCGTGGGAAGGGTAAAATGTGTTCTACTTATGTAGTATATGTATAAGTGTCATTATACATAATATCTATATTAAACCTACGTCAAAAAGTGCTGGAGCACGCCAAATAAAAAAATTCAGAAGACAAAATTATTGGTTTTATTGATTATTCCAGCTGTGTGGTGCCTTATAGCTTAATATATATATATACACACACACACACATACATTTCAACTTATAGTGATTATATTAGTAGATTATCGTCTATGGTGTACACACACGTATATATATATGTGTTTGTGTGTGTGTGTGTGTAGGTGTTCATTTATGTTGCATGGTAACAGTTAAAACATTCCTAGACAACGATAAGTTATCATTAATCCTCATTTAGGCGGATGAGTTTATTCAAAGCTAGAACATCCTCTTATTATTAATTGTAAAACACGTGATGATCATATCAAAACGTCATGACTTCAAGACACAAGTTAAAAAACTGAGATTTGAGATAAGGTATAAAAAAGAAATATTAGTTAAGATAAAGAACAATTAAAGATTTGAAACAATCTTTTTAAAAATATATTTAAATATTTTAAAAATAATAAAATCTAAAATAAAAACTACAGAATCCACAGACTCATTTCCTATACAACCTAACGTAGGATCGTTTACTTTTACATGTTACTTCTCTTAGTCTTTTCTTTTTACTTGAAAACACCTGAAGTACAAACTTTAAGCAGTTGTTATTTCTCACTGTTTACGAAATATAATTCCTGTACTGATCTTCTTCAACAAAATTCTGTATAATTGAACAAGTATGTCTGTATGTCCATGTCTCTGTTCAGTGATGTATTGTAAAGTCACTGATTTTTCAAAGTTACTAATTGTTTAAGTATATGTGCTATTTATGGCGTAATGGTATATATTAATGCATTCTTATGAATGATATTTATCGAATAGTTTTATTATATGCCATTAATTCTTAAGCTATTCTACTCTGTATTTTACCATAGATGTCAGCTGCAAGATATCTAACGCAACGTGGAACTGGTCACAGTCATAGAGAAGGAGGTCTTGTCGATAATTTCGTTACCTGGACCACATGAGTTACTATGACAACATGATAGGTGGTGTGGTGTATTGGTTGAAACGGAAGAGCCTGATTGTACTCATTAAATTAATTCCTAAGCTCCCATGATGAGGAACAAAATCTTTAGAGTTTTAATTAAAGTATGTTTTATTTTCAGGCAAAAATCAAATAGTCTTATTTTATTTTAACCAATAAGTTTTGTTTGAAAAGACTGGCGTTCTTATAAACGTAATCGAATTCGTTGTACAAACAACCAACATATTGTTAGACCAATAGCGTCTTTTTTTTTAGGTTAGATCAGTAACCAGTTCATTCTGTACTTGATAATTTCGTACAAGTCATAAGAATGAAACCGAAGCGAGCTTACCTGTTTATATACACATACTGAAACGATGTGCGTGTGTACCCTATACAAATGTGTTAAGTGGATAAGGGTGATTTTTGTAGTTATAGTTTCAAGCCTGATTTTTATTTGTTTTGTGAGTAAAACTTTCTCTGTCGTCATGTTATGTACACTGATCTACTTTTACATATATATATATATAACTTTATCTCCCAACAAAGATAACAGGTAACTCAACATTATCCTGCTAGTTTGTATTCTTGATTGGACAAGCTTTGTTTTTATGACTCGCTTTGTTACAGAGATTTTATGAAAACATGTTTGATTTGGAATTTCATAAATATACCGTTCTTCATATTACTTTTATTACTCACAACTCTATATTAGCAAGTGACAAACAAGAAGCTTTCCTCCAAGTGATCCTTTCCTTTGTTATGTTAATAGTGGAATGAGATGCGTTTCATATACCTTGGTGTGGCCGTGAGGATTAGTTCGTCGCTGAATGTTCACTTCCTCATTCATATGTATATTGTTCTATAACTGTACCAGTTCGAAAGTCCGAGCTGTTCGTGCTGATAAAGTACCCATAGCTGATGTCATTACAATTTTCACGTGATATGAGAAAAGTTTTCGATGCCAGTACATCCCAAGAGACGCTTACACCATCATAGATAAGACTAGTCTTTTGCCAGATTTAATCAACTACATTGAAAGTTGACGTCTGACGAGAGCAGGTTTCTAAAAGGCTTATCCATATTCAACATTTTCATCACGGGCCCTTACAGAGGTGAAGTTTTAAAGATAAATAATATTCTTACCAGCCAGTTTAGGAGCCAATAATCTATCTAGATGTTCTTATCTGGTTCTTATATCTATGTTCTCTGTACCTTGAACGTTTTCTTTAACTTATAATAATTTTTCTAACCAACCATCCTCTCATGTTCTGGAAGTGATTATTGATATTATTTTTAAAACACTATGCCATTATTAACTACACACACACACACATATAGATGATATAAAGATAAAGTTTTCTATCAACTTGAGTTTCATTGGTATCAATAATAGTACCTTATAAACTTCTGATGGTGTATGTAGAATCGTCAAACTAGTTCGTTAGAAAGATAAACATTTTACAGCATTCGTATACTTGAAAGTGTTTACATGCTACTGGTGTATTAAAAGTCGAATTATGAAACTGATTATAAACTAAGTGTTTGAACTGCTATACTTGCTAAACTTTATATTTACAGTTTACTGAAGAATGTTCCATTTCATTTTTCTGTCTGCAGATGAATGATATACGGTCTACCTTCGTACGGTGTAATTTCTGCTATTATTAACAATCTCTACTTTGTTTGTGTAGAAGTGCTTGTTTCAGCGCAATGCTACACAAAAGTCTATTTGCGGTGTATCCGCCGTGGGGACCGAAGCGTTATAAGGCCTCTAGACTACTGCTGAACAACGGGGGGACAATTGTTTTTAATAACTTTCCATAGATATATACAACCAATACTTATTTTCTCTAGTACTACGGCTTTGAAGAATGACTAATTTTTAGAGAATATTTCAAATTATTTTGGCATATTTTAATTTCTTAGAAATAATGTATTAATGTGTTTAGTGTTGTGTTTATTTTTAAGTTGTGTGAAATTTTAATGGCCGTTTCGTTTTTGTTCGTACCTTTTGAGTTGATAATTATATAGCTGTGTTTTAAAAATCAGTACCATAATGTTTAAATCTCGTTGCTGTAACTTACGTTTCGTTGTTTTTCTTATTTTCAGACCTACAATGTTACAATCACAGAGGTATTACCTCACTAAATGAGTGAGAAATGATTGTGATAATATATGTTCAAGATACAAACTTTAGTTTTAAACTTTGCTGATTATCGTGGTTGTATGTTTTGCCAATTTAATATGATGAGTTTTATGTTTGTGTTTTTCTAATATTCGATGCGTTATATTCAATTTTGATATTGCTTATTTTATTTCTATTGTACATTCTTTGTGACGAAGTTCAATTTTAAGACTGGATTTTCAAGTTATTGGTTCTGTGTGAACGCTTCCCATGGGTTTGTTATGCCCTACCTGTAGTGTTAAAATAGACTCACCCATGCTTTCGCGGAATATTGACCTTAGCGTCCGCTTGGCCTTCTCCTTCATTGAGTGGTGCGGCACGAGGCCGTGTTGTGTGAGTTACTTCTAAGTGTGTGTATTGAGTTGTTTTGTATCAAAATCTGTTCGGCTTTTCATTCGTAAAAGGCTATATAAAATAACATACATATGACTGGATAGATAGTTAAGCTATAGGTCTCACCTACCTTCATTACTTTGTTTGTTGTACACTCAAGCTTGAGGTGGTTTTCCTATAGCTTGCACTCTGATAGATGTGAAATGTTGGGAGACCTGGTATCTACCTGCAGTGGTGTTTCTTCAAGAAACCAAGCGCGGCCGCTTTTAAGTTTGCTAAACGATGGCTACTGCTGGAAGTAAACAAGTTTAATCGGGCACAGAATGCAAAGCTGCTTATAGTGATTACCATTAGGAGATGAAAAGCGAAACTCACAAAAGGTATTTGTCAAAAAACCATGTGTTTTCTTAGTTAGAATATTCCTATATAAACTCAAGGGTGCGATTAACAACAAAAGTATCTTAGATTTAGTAAAAAGAAAAGATATGAATTTGAAGTTCCTCGCCCAGGTACTGTCGAAGTTTCATGAATGTTTATCCTTAATGAAAGTGGCTGATTACGTACATAATTTCAGCGTTATTCTGAACACAGTGTTGATTACGAGCCATCGTTTTATTTCAATTACACTGAAAAGATTACTAAGAAACTAGAGTGACGATAAATCCTTGAAAGCCCTGCCTCAAATACTTGTTTCACATTAAAGAACTCTTATGTATTCGTCTTTTTTGCTCCAAGTGAGTTAACTTTAGATTAATTTTGGATACTAAAGAAGAGTAATTGGAACAAACACTTCTACGTTGCTTAGTTAGAAATTAGTTATTGACAGTCGGTAGCTTCATAACTCCAATAAAGCTATTAGGATTACAGAGACCTGTGAAAATGTACCCTAAGAGGTTAGTCTTTGGTATATTATTGCCCTTTGTTATAACCCAAGTTTTAAGCAATGCTTGTATACAGTTTAAAGTTAAAAAATATGTTCCTATCAACAGAAATGATAAGATCACGTTATTGAGAAGTGTTCTAAAATGGCTTCCGCATGAACTACTGATCGTGGATACGTTCTCTAAGTATCTAATAATATACCTTCAAGAGTAATTAGTAGTAGTTCCGACATTTATGAATCAATTTATATTACTTTTTTATTTGATTATTACTGACAGCAACCATGAAGAAAACAGAACGAAAGTGATTCACAATAAAGAGAAAATAAATATTCTCATTCGAGCAATTAGTTTTAATACTGGTGTAGAAAAAGACATTAATTCTAGAAATAAACGAACCTAAAGCTTTGTAGTGTCAGTCACGGTTTATGTTTTAGCGAAACACTTCTGAAGGAGCTAGCAGTAAAGCGAAACGTTGATTGTCCAATTTAATAAAAAACTAAGTTTGTGTTACGAGGTAGTTTATTTCTATAATTTAGTTTAGAAGAATGCGTTTCAGGGACAGTCACTACATAAGAATAAGGGTTCAATATAAAAAACATCAAAAATAACCTAACAATAATAGCATCGGAAAGAATGAACAATGCTAAATTAAACTACTGATACTGATTATAATGCCATAATTTTATTTGCAGGGGTTATTTTTTTCTTCTAAAGGATGCTTGATAACATTACAATCTTTTCTTTTGGTGGTGGTGATGGTCCGAGTGTTTTTCTATACTTTTGATGCTTCTCTGAAGAAACACTTGCTTTGTAATTAAAACGAAAAGAAATATGTAGTTTAACGCATTACAATCTACCATTGTCCGCTGAATATAATTAAGTGAAAACCAATTCAATTATTTCTTATCGCTGGTGTCTTTCTTTTTTCTTCTAATATTGATAAGAAGAAGCGCTGTTCTTTGAAGCTAATAGACTTGGAGCGACATTCTGATCGCGATACACTTAAGAGACAGAGTTTGAAAAACCGCTAGTCATGTGTATATTTTTTAAGGACTGCAATATAAAAAAAAGCGCAATAGACCGATAGGTGCTAATGTATTTCTTCACTGAAAACTATTTTTGATACATTATATATAAGAAAAAGCACGTAGAAATGATATAAACAAATCAAACAATAGACTGCACGATTTCCAGAAGTAAAAACAAAGTCTGTGCAGCAGTGTGTTTAGTTTAATAACATCATTACTATATTTTTTTTGAAGACAAAGATTCCTTTCTTCTTCGGGCTTTATTTTGTTCTAACGATGTAACATTGGGTACCGAAAACGAGCACTTGTTTGAGTTCACTTATATTAAATATCCTAGAGAAAAGGCTAGAATAAAACCCCGATAATTGGATATTTCCTATATCTGTAGAAATATAGAATGCAATTTGTTGCTCCAGCTGCATTTTTAACACGTTAACATGACAAAATTCAAATCCTAGCTATTTCAATTTGTTAATGTTACAGTGTGTCTCGAATCTTGGATGTGTCGCTGTGTGGTGCATCTTAAAAATAGCACGGTGACTCAGAATCTGTAAAGTTTGAAGCATTTAGATTCGAACCCCGGTGATATTTGCACATCATGTGAGTTAAAAAGTTAATGTCTCCTTTAGCTAGTAAAGCATTTTAAACAGCTTAAGTTACATTGCTCTCGAGTTCTTCTTCGCTCGAAAAAAAAAGGCCTGCCCTTGGGCCTAAACTCAGGGTATTCTTGCAGTTTCTAACTTTTCCATGGCAGAGATAGAACCCAAGCCAGATATTTCTAACTCTAACTGAGCACTCTATCGTATGAGCAAGCTACCTGTTATGCATTTTTTTTTAACAATTCAAACTACCACAGAGACAAATATGTCAAACTCTGTTGTTAAAACACAGTTTAGCGAACACAGATAGAAAAAATATCCTAAATGATCTTGTAGATGAAGAGAGCAGAAAATATGTGTCAGTAATATTGTATATTATATATAAATCGAGAATCACTATTACAAATATGTCATAAATGCAAAAAATAGTAAAAACTACTTGAGAAAGTTGCAGGTGACACACAGGAGTTTATAAATCAAACGAGTAATAATAAAAAGAACGTACCACTCACAGTTTTGACAGATGGATTACGAAGACTAGAGAATATACAGTTAACACTTGTATTAGCTGTCAGTAAACCTAATACATCTGGAATGACAAGAATGATGTCTTATGGCCCAACTTTCAGTTTATCTGAAACGTTGTGCCGGCCTAGAATGATGTCAAGTAATTCCATACCTAATGGTGTGTTTGTTAGCTGTATAAAACTGATTATTTTCTTATGCACATCTAAAAAGTAAAAGAAAATATTTTCATTACGATAGTTTATTACAGGATTTCTGTGATTTCTATGATAATTGAGATCGCCCAGTGATTGACAAAAGATCAGTTGATAATCCGTTTTCGGAATGACAGTATTGTTTCTGTTTGTCATTAAACTGGTGTAACAAAAACTACTTAAAATTTAAAGTTGTTAAAGAAAATAGGTGTTGGGAATCAAATGGTGACTGGTGTACAGAAAATGTGTGATACTTGTGTGCAATTGAGAATACCAAGGAAATATAAAGGTACTGAGCGTTTTCAATGTGCATATCTCAAAACAAACTCAGGCTCTAGCATAATATTATACAGTCCAAGAAAAGACTGTATTGTGGTAATGATTCATTGTAATCATTCCTGCAAAGCAATCTGAAAATAAATACATTAAATGGGATATGGCAAAGAGTAATAAAGAAAGAATATAAACGTATCTATATGCAATATTGGAGGAGGAGAGGAGGGCGTAATGTGGGATACTGCGCTTAGAGGTTGTACGGGGAGGCTGTATTGACAGTAAAATCAATCAGTCATTTTAAAGACATTATTTTTAGAAAATTCTCAAACAAAATTATCTGTGGAAGTTCTTCTGAGAAGAAAAAAATTAATAACCGTGGAAGAGAGTCTTCTTAGAAGTAAAAGAAGACAAAACTTAATATCTGTGGAAAGTCTTCTGACGAGAAAGAAAAAACAAAAAATTCAATATCTGTGAAATGTTTTTTGGAAAGGAAGAAAAGACAAAAATTTAATTTTCTATTTTGGACAATATATATTATTATAAACGAAATGGTTGAACTGAATTATAACAAAACATTTTACGTGAAATGTTTCTATGCTAAATAAAAAGAACTCAAACATTTGGTTAATTAATTAAATTTATTTATTTTATTTATCTCGTTAGTCACTTAAGCATGGCCAGGTGGTGAGGGCGCTCGACTCGCAATCTGCGAGTCGCGGGTTCGAATCCCCGTCACACCAAACATTCTAGCCTTTCTGCCGTGGGAGCGTTATAATGTGACGGTCAATCCCACTATTCTTTGGTAAAAGAGTAGCTCAAGAGTTGGCGGTAGGTGGTGATGACTAGCTGCCTTCCCTATAGTCTTACACTGCTAAATTAGGGATGGCTAGCGCAGATAGCCCTCGTATAGCTTTGCGCGAAATCCATAACAAACCAACAATAGACACTTAAGATATTATGTTATGGTTTTATTGTAAAAACACAAACTTTCATGAAACTGAAACCTCTGAATTGTTTTGCAAATTACGTTATAAAAATATAAATGTGCTCAGCATAATTTTAGATACATGTTTTTACAGAAAATAATGAAATAATAGATAGTTAGCGAAATGGAAATTACTAATGCATAATTGATAAATTGTTTTAAGCAACAATTTGAATTCTTTATTTACATAAGTTTTCGGAATACAAAACAAATGAAGTGTTTGTACAGATGCTTTTAATATAGAGATCAATGTCAATTTGTGCATCTTGTGTTAATGTTAAGGCTTGGCATGACTTGGTGGTTAGGGTGCTCGACTCGCAATCTGAGGGTCGTAGGTTCGAACCCCCGTCCAACCAAACATGTTCGCCCTTTCAGCCAAGGGGGGAATCATAACGTGATGGTCAAT